TGAGGCAATAAGCAGCACAGTCTCTGCAGGTCATTTTAGCAGAACTTGCTGTATGTATCCCATTCCCAACTTTGCCAGTGGTCCCTTGAACATTGCTACATGTGTAGCCACAGCAGGAAACCATTCTGTATGTCGCCTGTGACTGTGCTGTGCTGATGTGGTTTGGATGAGAGGTGTAGAAGGCAGCCTTGGGCCTGAGTTACCCTGTAACATAGCTGTCCTAGCTAAAAAGGTTGAGCATTTCTACCACAAACCAGTAAGGAAGCTGGACTCCCATCTCTTCACCAGGCCCTTCTGAAAGGGCTTGTCCAGCTGCATATTCCAGTGGATGAGGTTTGTTGGATGCAGTAGGAGAACAGTGTCAAGGTAGTGAATAGAGCTGGGAAAATCAGCCTGGGATCCTTACCCCAGCCACTGAACAGTACCCCCTGAAATGAGCTAAGCATGGGATGGGAGGTGATTCCTTTGTACAGTGCACTGCATCCATTTCCTCTGGCTCATTCTAAGTGAGCTGCAGATCAGTGGGGAGGCTTGCTTCAAAGAGCAGCCTCTCTTTTAAGCTCTGGATGGTGGTGCAGCAGCTTCCTTGGGAGAGTGTTAAATCATTTCTTTGCTACAGGGGTAATGTGAAAGTAATACTAAACAGACTCTGCAGTAGCACCATATGGATTGCTTTTGCCCTTGAATGGGAATGGGACTCTGTTTTTAATCAAGTATAATTCAACATCAGCCTCAGTAAATAGCAGGATGTGTTAGTGCATTGTGAAAATTTTATATATGTAGCTTTTAAATGGGCTTTTAGCAAGTTGGTATTAATCTGCTGGAGCTCTGAGGCTTCCAGAAGGCTATGCAGTAAAAGGCACCCTTTTTAAAAAGGGTAAGGGAACAGTCTCTGATTTTTCTTTTCCTAGCACTGCTCTCAGTTCCTTCTTGGTCTTCACTGGCTGTTAATATAGGAGACATTTCCCAGGCATTTGCTTCTGAATGAAGAGGAAAGACTACTTAGAACCTTAATAACCCATGGTATCTGAATTGAGGAGCATTTTTGAAATGGCAGTGTAGTTGCATGCTGTGAGGGGAAAAAAAGCTGGTTAGTCCCACTGAAGACAGCAAAGGGTCTGAACAGAAATAAGTGATTTGCTCAGCAGGGTGTTGCTAACAAGTGGTGATGGAGCAGGGTGGCAGAGCTGCAGGAGACCTGTGGAGGGCCCAGGCAGGGCCATGTGCTGCTCACACAGAGATAAGCCAGCTGGCCTAGCAGCAGAGATCCTCACCCAAATCTGCCCCTTTCTCCAGCCCCATCTACTGCAGTGCCCTGCCTGATCACTGCTTTTCAGTGCAGTACTAACCCACACAGTGCAGGTTGCAATTGCAATGCTCCCAGATCCACACTTTTCCTGAGAGGCAAGGGTACAGTTGAGTGGTGAGAGCTTCCTGGGGACATCGTGCTTATTATTGCAGTGATGACACTTGCAGGATTGCCTTTCTGCAAGATTTTCTTTTTGTTGTTATTAGTCATTTGGCTCTGATGTTCTGAGCCTGTGCTCTGTGCTTTCCTTTAATGCCCTTCCCACAACACCACTGGCTTTTCATGGAGATGATGTTCAGTGTGTACCAAAACATTGTCCTAACTGGGCATGTTTTGTAAGCTGGAAGAACAAATTCATTCCCTGGAGAGTCAGCACCCGGACTGTTTTGAAGGCTTGGAGTGATCTGGATGGCAGAAGACAACCAGGATTTTACGGAGTCCAATTTTGGATGTGCCTGGCCAGGCTTTCAAACACAGGTTGTGATGGAAATGCAGTGCGTGCACCCTTACTTTTCATGCCTGCTGTATTCATGGGGCAGCTGTGAGGTTTAGCAAACAGCTATTTCTAATTCATTTTGGGAACTGTGCCTCAAATGTTCTACAAATTCATGGGATTGTTATTCAGATGCAAATTGGCCTGAAATACCATTACCTTTCCATGAAAGTGAAGCATGTCTCTAATAAAACCAAATTTAATGGAGCTCTCCGGAATCAGACTTTCTCCTAAGGGCTCTGTGATATCTTACATTGTTTCATTTTCATTATGAAGTGGTATTGATTTATTTTTTTGAATTAGTTCTGTCAACACAGAAAGTGCAGCGCGTCTTGGAGCACAGAGGAGTTGTTACAGTGCTGACCTCCACTCTTAAGAGAAAAATTATTTCCAGATAACAGCAACGAGGGAAACCATTTCATCAGTTTGTTGAAGCAGCTTCAGTAAAGCGATCTGCTTTGGCCAGCTCTGCTTCAGTTTTAATCCTGGGAAGGATACAGACAAATCCATATAGATGGGAATTGCTGTGTTTTGTGCGTTTCTTGCTCTCATACACTTCAGGGTGATGAAATGTGAGAGTTAATTTGTGCTGATGGCTGCTTTTTACTCCCTTTTTGACTGACTTTGGCTGTCACCTGCTTAGAGATGTGTCAGTGAGTTGGGTGTTCCTTGTCCTGTTGTCCCTTCTGTACAGTCATTAGCAATCTGGAGGGTATTGCTAGTGGTTGGCTTTTATTTCTGAGATGCTTAGCACTCCCTTTAGAGTTCTACAGGGATAAAACCATCTTTTCCTCTGCACGTTCTACTGGAAATGAAGATCACCCTGGTTTAATACATACTTGTCCTACAAGATAGCCCTGTCCCCAGGCTCTTTTCGTGTTGCACTGCAGTGGTGTCTATGTCACTGCTGGAGCACCCCACTGCATAGCTGGCCAGCCTCCAGCCAGCCCTGCTGTAAAGCACCAGGGACTTTAAGAACTGCATTTCTTCAGAACAAAAAAGTGATTTCAGGTTGCCTTCATCAGGTTAGTAGCTCTACACCAGATCATTTCTTGGCAGACATGAACTAAAGCTCTTTGTGTTTGTAGTTGTGATGGAGCGTCAGTTGTTTGCATCAGCTGGTGCTTGGTGCATGATTTCTGTCCCATGTCCTCCTCTCTTGTGGCTACTGCTTCTCCACAAGGCAGCTAGACAGAAGACATGCTTTAAGGATAAGTTTTTCAAGCCTGCTAGTGCAGAACTTTCATTGCTGTCACCCAGACTGCATTGCAAAGTAGCATGGCGTGTGGGTTGGCTGCTCTCAGCATCACCTTTCCTGCCCGGACCAGCCATATCCCCTCTGTGCTTATTTCCTTCACATCTCAGTTTACTGCTATTTAAATTGTGTGCCAGGTTTGCCCCTGGCTGACGTTACATTGCAGTGCCCTGGGACATGTCAGTCTCACTTTTGAAAGCACAGCCTGTGCTTTGCTGCCCCAGAGGCACTTGTGCTGATTTTTTCCTCTAAGCGGTCTAGGTCATGGACTATCACTGTTCCTAATGCTCGTGTCAAGAGTGAGCGTTCTGGTCTGTGAGGCACAAATGTTCATTGACTCTAGTGTTGGACTACTTTTTGCAAAGGATGTTTTTTACTTCTTTGTTCATCAGTCATATTGCTGCAGTGCTCAGACACACTAAGCACCAGGCTGATGTGGGCACTGAACAAACAGAGCAACTGACAAACAGACCATATTTTCCTTCTTTCATTCAATTGCTCAAAGGCAGGGAATGCGTTTTATCAGATAAATAGTATGGGGAAAAAATAATGAAGAGCCCAGAGTACCTGCTTCCCTAGTGCAGAACCCTCTGTTTTCAGGCTTAGCTCTGGGGATGGTCTACACATTTTTGTAGCCTGTGTTTTTGTAGAGGTTTTGGGAATCTCAGTTCTATAGGATCAGGCATATTGTTCAGCAGCCTTCACCCTATCATGTGCATGAAGAGCATCTAATCATTTCCTGAAGGGAAACATCACTTCCCCTCTCCCCATTTTCTTTTTTTGCTCTACCTCCATTACCATAATGAAATGTCAGCTTGCCACCAGCTTTGCTGCATAGCAGATGTCTCCTCATAATTACTGTTGTCGCAGAGCTTTCAGTGTTAATCTGACTGTCTAGCCAGGCTGTTACAGCATGAACTGGCTCACATCACAGCATGGCCACACAGTTGTTGCACATCTGGAAGAGGATGTAACCAGCAGTGCTTTTAACTAATGCCCTCCATCAGGCTTTTGTCTACTGTGTCTCTACATCAGCTCTTAGGAGAGTGGAGCATCTCACTTTACCTGTGGGTGTGTGTACTGCTAATGAGTCAGCTGCCCACAGCATGCTGCTTAACATAATGCCTTTGAAATCTCTCCCACCCATCCTCAGTTTGCTGCCCAGATGAGTTATATGGAAGTGATCCTAGATCTCTGCATGTGTTTGAGGCTCTTTTTCATGTGCCAAGGACAACATCAATCAGCATTGCTTTAAACTAAGGAGAGGTCCTTGCAGAAAAAATATCTGCAAGTGTGATTTCCCTTCCTCAGACAAGGCCTGCTGGAAAGCTTTCTTGGGAAGAGCAGAGTGGTTTCATGGAAGTTGTTCATTCTTGCTCCTAAAACACAAGCTGATTTGCTCTGTAGGACAGGTTGCTTCTGTGGCAATGTGCTAAACAGATTTGTAAACCAGGAAAGGATAAGATCGGTATTTTCCCCTCCCAATTGCATATTTCCTATGAGATGCCAAAAGCAAATGTGAAAATGATAATTGAGGCTGCTCCTCCCTGAGGGGGAGCAGTGGGGTGCAGGGGTCCTGTTCTCCTGGGAAAGGCAGTAAGAACTAGAGCATTTCCACTTCTGTTCAATACAGTCTGTTGGATTTTCTACAGTTCTGCTTTTGGGGACATTTCATGTTCTGAAAGCTGTTCCTTGATTTAATTTTTTTCTCTGCATTCCTAGGAGTCATTTTTCTACTGTTCCCTGCTGCTTCTTTCCTGAGCATCCAAGAAATTGCTTTATTGCAGCTGCAACATTACTTCATAGATAGCTTGTAATGAAAGATTCCTGCTTTCAGAGCAGGATGTACAAGTCTGCTCCTTTATTTGCATCTTTGCAGAAAGATTTTTGTTTGGGTGGGTCAACTACCATGGCAAACCATATTCTTGTCTTTTTTTCCTCAGTGCACTACCAGAAGATCATTCACCGGGACATCAAGCCTTCCAATTTGCTGCTAGGAGATGATGGACATGTCAAAATTGCTGATTTTGGAGTCAGTAATCAGTTTGAAGGGAACGATGCCCAGCTTTCCAGCACAGCAGGAACACCAGCCTTCATGGCACCAGAGGCCATTTCAGACACGGGCAAAAGTTTCAGTGGAAAGGTAGGTCATGGCTCACAGCCAGTGTCTCCAGGGTTCTCACAGGCACTGTGTAAAGGGTAGCACCACACCTACATCCTTTGCATTTTGCCCTCTCTGGCATTATGGTGTAGATTGGTATTGTTTTCAAGTAAAATCAAAGCTCTAACTTTGCATTCAGGCAAAACTCGTGTTGATTGTTCTGTATAGCAGGTAGATGGACTTTTTGTCAAGCCCAAGCCAAGACAAGGAGGCAGGTTAGAGTCCAACAGGACCATTTTCCTACTTAACAAGGAAGGACAAAAATCCCCATTTCCTTCCAAAGTAATCAAGATTCATAGAGAGTTGCTGGGCACCAAAGTCATATCTTGATACCCTGAAAGTGAGGAATGTGGATGAATATTGTAATGCAGGTGTTAGAATAGGGTCTAGCTTTTGCTTTTTGCCTTTTTTTTTCCTTTAAATTTGGAAGAAGACTTGATGTTCACCCTTGAACTGTCATCTTCTATAAGAAGAAAGGACTGCTCACTGGTCAGTGCCCTTCACGACAAAGATAAGTGTAGTGGTGTCTGAGCCAGCACAGTTCTCATTCCCCACGAAGGCCATAAATGCCTTTAGGAGCCCAACTTCAGAGACACTCTGTGCAATAAAATTAAACATAAAATATTAAATGTGTTCAAGTAGTTCTGTGAGTCAGGGGGAAAATCCAGCTCATTTCTATCATCTGTGTTGCATCTAATTTACTGCCTGCACTTGCTTTCTTTCAGGCACTTGATGTATGGGCCATGGGAATTACCCTGTACTGCTTTGTTTATGGGAAGGTAAGCTGGCTTTCAGATGCTGGAGCCCTGTATGAGAGTGTCTGCCTGCCTGTCTTTTTGCTCATTCCTTTCCAAATAAAGGCAAATGTTAGAAGCAGAGGTCTACTTTCCACATGCTTCTGTTTTCTCAAATCACCCTGCAGATGAAAAGGGACTTCAAGAGCTGACCCCTGTACTCAGAATGAAAAACAGGTGTTTAAATAATAATACCTAACTCTAAATTATGCTTGCCACACAGGTCTTCAAGAAGCGAACCAGACCAGTCAGTATCAGTATTTCTGTGCTACAGATAGAAAAATGTAGCAGAGAAAAGGAAAATGGTCCCATGGTATGTTGGATAGAGAGGGGCGTCCCAATCATGTTCTGTATTTGTTTGGTCCCTCTGCTTTTCTTCTTTATATATTTACTTATTTTAAAGAAATGGATTTATTTTGTGGAGGAGATTTTACTCCCATCTTCACATAAAATCCAGACAATGCACACAGGAAGTTCACTTCTGTTGAATGAATGGCAAACACCAAAGTGGTGCCAAGATCTTTGACAACTGGGAAATCTTTGTTTGTTTTACAGTGTCCTTTTATAGATGAATATATTCTGGGTCTTCATAACAAGATCAAGAGCAAGCCTGTGGAGTTCCCAGAAGAGTAAGTAAACTTTACTCAGCTACTGTAAAGTAAAGATCAGTCTTTGGCATTGCTCACTGTGCAGTATAAATGCTGGTGGATCACCATGGAGGGATGGACAGAAGGTGAGGTTCTTTGCATTCTCCTGGGTCCTTCGTATGAGTGTTGTGGCAGCTTTGCTGTAAAAGCATTGCAGCTGCCTTTGCTGCTTCTGTTTGTACATTGTGCAGATGGGAACTAAAGACAATTGCTCTTGAGACTTTTGGTGGAAGTAGGGGGATTTAATTGTGGGTCCACCGAGTTCTGCCGCAGCTTACTTGAGTGAAGATGCTGGAAGCTGGGATTCATTGAAGTTCTGTACTTCTGCCATCTGGCTAATACTGGAAAGATTCAGTATCCTGGTTTCTATAGTAATTTGTTTATTATAATAATAATCAGACCTTGGACTTGGTCTGAGTAAACACCCACAGCTTACACAGACCTACCTTGGAGCTGGGAAATGTCTTCTGGAGGGTAGTTGCCCCACAACCTGAGAGTCCCAAACTGCCTTATCCAATGCAATCTAAGGAGATATGGGTTTATCTTGTGTGCTGGCAAACCTGGGCTTATATACCACTCTTTTGGGGTCTCTCTTCTTGTTCCTGGTTACAAAAAGCATGAGTTTTTTAGAAATAAAATTACTTGATTCAAAACAAGGTTGAGGAACTTAAAAATATAAAGTACATCTGTTTAGAGAGGAAGGGAGAGATATTGCCAGACAACCCCAGATAATGTACAAATATCCACTGTTACATTATTTGTGATATACTCACTGAATTTTTAGGCATTCACAGTGAGGGGCTGGGCCTCTGCTTCAGCAATCCCAGGCTTTCTTTTGAGTCTGCAAAGAGAAATGGGTACTTAGAATGTCCTATTTTAGACATCTGCTTTAGATAGGATGACTCATAACCCAGACTCCGCTGGCTGTATTAATTACCTCTCCACTGACTGTGAAGCACAGCCTCTGCAGATAGCTCAGATGAAGCAATGTCTACTTGGGCTGATGGAGCCACGCTGAGGACTGTGTGGGACACACCTCTGCTCCTAAAGACCTAAGCACTTGTTTGGTGTCGAACACAGGCCCCAGTGGCCCCAGACACTGGTATGGGATAGTTCTGATGATTGACACATAACAGGGCTTCAGGCACTGAGAGCACAAAGGCTGACCATTCAGCTACATTGCTGTGTTTCCACCTATTGTTCTGTAGTTGATGCAGGACTTGGTCTGTAACAGCACTGCAGCAAAAAATAAAAATAAATTGTTTCTCTCTAGTCTCTCTGCTTGCTTAGGTTCTGGCAGGATGCCTGTCCTCTCAGCCATCATATATTTGGGTTAGCAGTCAGCTTACAAGTGACTGTTCCCATCTGTCTCTGCAGTAAGTTATTAACATTTAACGGGCTAACTGGGTTGTGCTAAGAACATTTTCTTCATTCAGACGTTTCCTCCAGCAGTAATGCAGCTCTGCAGTTTATTTGGACTTCTCAGTCACCTAACAAAAAGCTGTACCCCTCAGTAGGCTGTTGGATAAGTAGAACTGCTGGGTGTTCACATCTGTCTAAACTGCATCTACCTGTTAGAGGAAATCAATAACAAAGATGCACATAAAGCTGAAATTCACTGGGTTGAGTCCACACTGACCTCCCACGGAATTAGCACCTCGTTACAGTTAGGAATATTTTGGTCTCAATGTGTTTCACCATGGCTACAAAAGATGCATTCCTTTGTGTAGACAGTCCGTGGAAATTCATTGCCTGTTTCCTGACAACCTTTGATGAAGCTGACTGTACCCATGCCTTCCCTTCCCTTAGAGATGCTAGGGTAAATATTTATCACTTCAGTGTTCTCGTTCATGTCGTTCAGTCCTTGGCATGACGTGAGGTCAACGAGGTGAGCTGCAGCTTGCACCCTGGTGATCCTGGCATGGCTAAAAAGCACACTGGAGGAGTTTCTGGCCAGGCACATGCTAAGAGAGCCAGAAGCTCTGCGTGGCTCTTCCTGGTAAAGAGCTGAATTTCAGGACAGTATCTCCCGACCTTGTTGCCTGTGGGCACCCTGTAAAATGATGTATGGGATTGAAAATCCCTCAGCACCAAATGGGTGCTGAACATTGTGATACACAGTCACAGTACTGTGACTATGAGAAATTAGCACAGACTTTTCAAATGAAAAATGACACTGGGTACAAGATGAACCTTGGCAGAATAGAGAGAAGGGAAAACAGATGCAGGGTTAGGCAGTCAGTTAGCTAGTTATAACCCACTAGGAGCTTTGCAGTCTTATTCACAGGGCTTTTGCTTACAGCATTCATCCTGCTGTGTAGAAATCAGTGTGGTGCCAGAAATGTTAGGTGCTTATTTGATCTATATCTTGTGTTTTAAGTTAATATGTTGCTAGTTTGGCACAGATCTGATGTTAAGTGTTTTACAAACACTACTGCACTTCTGTCTCAGTGTGGTCCTCCTTTAGGAGTCAGTTTATTTTGACCTGCTGAATTCTTTTTCACTCTCCATAGCTGCTCCTCTGTGTCTGGATCTCATCTCAAGAACAGCACATTTCTTCCTATTCCCACCTAAAACATCACCTGAAGTGCAGCCTTGGACATGGGAAGTCTCTGGGAACTCCTCCTGCCATTCCCCATGTCTGGGCTATGTTGCCTGTTCACTGTAGATACTTGATGTTCCCTCTAAATTGCACTCACCTTCTGCCCCTTTCCACTGTGTTTTCTTGTGGTTGTTTGTGAAAGATCCCATAATCCAAATGCACATAAAGTACTCATAAGTTATTGAACAGCAGCTATGATTTCATCAGACTAAAATATCCCTTACTGTGATTTGGTCTTTGTGTAGTTTTATGATAGTTTATTTCTTCTTCTTCTTGGGGAGGGTGCAGAGGAGGTGGGCACAGTACCTGGTTCTCATCACTGTTTTGAATCTGACGTTAGGACTGAAATCCAGCCCTGCTGGCAAGTGACATTTTATGCTGCCAAATCCATCTCCATGCAGATATGCACTTCATTGAAAGGCATTTGTGATACAGGTTTTCAAGAACCTAATGCAGTCGTGTCATATGAAGCATTTTATTTCAGTAGCACTTTATGATCATACAGACCAAGTGTGTATTTAAAGATATGGCTTACATCATTAGCAACAGAAGTCATTGAAGTCTTCAGACTAGAGATGGGAGGGCCAGCAGGACCAAGGGCTTAATGAGAATAGAGTGGTTTCTGGGTTCAGGCTGTCTTTATCATTTAGTCTTAGACACAGTGCTAAAAAGTCAGATATATTTCTATCTCTTAGTCACATCTGTTCCTTCCCTCCTTTCAGTATCCTGGGACTGAGCTGTACAGGTAAGAAATGCATAGCTGTGTTAGTTGGCAGAAGAGTGTTACTAAATATCTTGGCAGTGACCATGATGTCTGAGGAGGAACCAAGAAAACTAAATCTTCCTTTTTCTAGCTGGTTTGCAGAGAAAATACCTTTCAAGCAGAGCAGTTTTTCTAACAAGTAACTGCAGGAGGGACTATGTGTGCCTTGAGCACTGACAGTTCTCTTGTTAACTGTATACTGCTATTTTCTTCACTCAGATTACAGATAAGTGATGAGCTTAAGGAGCTGATCTTACGCATGCTTGATAAAAATCCAGAAACAAGGATAACAGTCCCTGAAATTAAGGTAAATTGAGCATTGATATTGCAGTCTTTTGTCTCAACTGATTTTTTTGTTCCTTTGATACCTCCTAATGGGGCAGAGCTGTTCCCAATATTTGTTTTGTGAGCTTCTTCTGGCAAACTGACACAGAAAGGGAGAGTGCTCATTTTGCAGTGTTCTATTGCTGCTGCTTGCTTGGGGAATATTGACAAAAGCTCTCGTGTTTACTTATTTAAATTAAAATTACTCAAAAGCTGGCTGATTTTCAGTGAATCCCCAGTAGAATCAACATTGTCATGGGAACTGTGAGCTGCAGAGGCGATGCTTATTAACAGAGAGAACCAATAGTCCTGACGGAGCACAGTGCTTTGCAGAGTTTGCTTTCATTCTGTTTTAGCATGTGCTTTCTGTCCTCCTTTCACCTCTCACTGAAGCCTTGAATCAGCAAGATTTCTCAGGTACCCATTAGCATTCCTTAGAGGGCACACTACTATTCTCTGCTTTGTCTCAGGCCAACACCAGCACATTTTCAGCTAAAGCTGATGATAGGAAGGTTGAACTTTGAGAAGAAAAGTGACATCCCTTCCCTCCATGCCCAGGAAGCCACAGCCAGTGATAGTGGGGAAGTGCTTTGGAATCGCATTTGTTGATTTTGCATGGCAGACTTTGAGCAGTCTGTGTTCCTCCCCATGTAGGTACATCCATGGCTAACCAAGGGTGGTGAGGAGCCTCTGCCACTGGAAGAAGAGCACTGTACTGTGGTGGAGGTTACAGAGGAGGAAGTGAAGAACTCAGTGAAGACAATCCCAAGTTTGCCTGCTGTGGTAAGTATAAACCACAGCAGTTTATTTGAATGAGCCAAGAGCATGACACTTTGAAGCTCTCAACTGGTAAAGGAGGTTTGGAGGTATACTTGTGCTCCTGGCCCAGGAAAGCTCTGAGGCTGCCTTCTTACAAACTTACAAGCAACAAGCAGCAGTCAGCAATATGTGCTTTGACTCCTGCCAGCAATGGTCTGTGTCCAGGAATCTGAGCTCACTGCCTAAGCAAATGATGCTGAGACTGCTTGGAAGTGGCTGTTTTGTGGTTTTTTCTGGTACATGCTCTAGGTGTAATGCTGTTAAATGTCTGCTGAATTATTAAAGAAGCTGTTGTTAGACTCCTTTCAACTAACTTCAGGGGGATGTTCTCAGTGGTCTGTTTTTCTTCCTCAAAGATCCTAGTGAAGGCCATGCTAAGAAAACGCTCCTTTGGAAATCCATTTGAAGTTCAGACCAGACGGGAGGAGAGGTCCATGTCTGCTCCAGGGAACCTGCTGATGTATGTATATACAGCCTGGCCTGGCTCTGCCACGCGTGCAGTGTAAAAGTGCACAGAAGAGATAAGGGAAGCCATTTACAAATATTTTCCTTATCACTTAAGGACAAAACTCACTTTTGCCTCAAATATTGAGCTGAATTCTGCCTCAAGTCCTCCAGGGTTAAAAATACAATGCAGTAAAACAAGCTGAAGACTCTTTATAGATGGAGTTCTTTCTCTAAGGTGATTTTGGCCTAAACACACTTAAGGTACTAAGCTTGGCCTGGTTTTTAACCTGTTAGTTTGTAGTACGCTGTGATCAAAGATCCACTAGAGATAGGTGGACTAAAATAAGGGTATCTACTGGGTGGTTTAATCTTCTTTCCTTTTCCTGGATAATGAAAAAGGTCTCAGATGAGCAGCTTTTGTGTTTTATAAGCTAGAAATGAAATGATATGTTTTGTCTGGTGTCCAAGTCTGGGTGTCTGAACTGGCAGGCACCATGAAGTTGTATAGAGAGCATAGAACACTTGGACATGACTTCTTCACTTGAGAAGAGAAAGGAGCCAGCTGAACAGCTCACTCTTTGGAACTCAGAGGAGAAAACAGAAAATCTTTTAGCTGAATTTTCCCTGATTACTTCCTGATCTCTGTATTACGTGTAAACAGCATTCTAGGCTTTGGTTTTGGAAACGTTATGTGCAGAAATTGCATGGGCAGAAGTCTTTGCAATATGAGGAGGTCTTTTGTGTTTGCAGTAGCTTTTGTTTCTTTAGAGGATGCCAGTAAAATATTAGTGATTTGAAGTAGTTTTTAAATTAGTACTGGCAGGAGGGAAGGCTACTTTAGCTCTGCTTAGACCTGGAAGACTCAGTCCTCTTCACAGTCTTGTGTATTACTTTGTTTAATTGCACAGAAAAGTTAAAAAGGCAGCTGTTGGAACGGTAGGCAAATTCACCAGGGAGTCAGAAGGGAATTAAAAGGAAAAAACTTTTCTTTTGCAATGCCTGCCTCTCCCATGTACACCTACAAGCTGTGTGTGAGAGCTGCCATCTCTCACTTTAACCCCATGGGTACCTGGGGCTGAGTGTCCAGACAGCTCAGATACAAGGCAGGCAGAGTCACCTCTGGCTCTGCCTTTCATACAGGACCCCTCAGAAGTTGCATTGGTTCATCAAGCCTTGCAGATCCTGCAGACCATGGCCACGTTCAGCCCGTTAATGGTATCTGCAGAAGACACGCCGATTATTTCTTAATTTTTCTGCAGTACACAGAGGATTTCTTTTTTAAGCCAGCTGTTCATTGTTCAAAGCTAAGTTCTGGGTTTCTGTTCGTATTTGCCATATTTCTTCTGCTTGCTCTAGATTTCTCCTAATTGAGTCAGCACTGGTTTCACCACATTTTATTATGCTCATTTATTGCAACTACTACCTATCAGATTAATTGCTGTGTTTTGACAGACCCAATTTACTTTCCCATTATGGCTGCTACTGCTATTGATGACACGTGGCTGTATGGGGAATCAGTCTCTGTTTAAGCAGCCTGCCCTGCTCTGAGAGCTGTCACTGTCCTTAAGGCCTTTCTGTGCATGTAGGGTGGAACTGAGCAAGACAGGAGGGAAATGTGGCTGACAGTTGACCCAAGTCTCACACCAGGAATAGCTTCTCCCAAAGCAGCACAGAGGTACCAGCTCTGTGAGCAGAAAGTCCTGGGGCTTGCAGCTATGGGGCTGCTCAAAAATACACTGCAGAGATTGCCTAGGCCAGGTATGTTTTCAGCATCATCTTTAACAAGGGAACAGCTGAAGACTGGCATTTCTACTTAAAATACTGCCTTGGTCTCTGCTGGTGTTCAGCATCAGTTTCTTCAGTCAGGAAGTCAGTTTCTTCTGTCAGAACAGAGCTAAACCCAACCAAAAGCCATATTCTCATTCAAAAGAGAGTTGTTTGTCTCATGGAAGAGCTGTGCCCCACAGTGCAGGTAGGGGTTCTCACAGTCTGACTAAGGACAGAATCATCAAATATGGTGTGGGATTTTCTTCTGACAAGGACTCACCATCAGGAGGATCCTGTAGTGACAGACCCCGTGCTCACAAGGCTCTGCCTGCACTGAGCTATCAGTGCATCACCCATGGTACATGCTGCTACTCTGTGACCATGGCAGAATATCAACCCTCCCCTCAAAATGCCAAATAGAGAGGCCCAGGTAAGTGCTTATGGCTGTCAGCAGTGTGCTGGAAGCAGCCATGGGCTTTTGGTAGAGGTAGGAGCTGAAGTGGGTTTGTGTCAGTGCTAGCAGTGCTCATCCTCATCTCTCCTTTGGGCTGCAAGTAGACTTGACTGATGCTCTGTCCACCATTTCATTCTGCTTGCTAGGCTTGTTAGGTACAGAAATACAAGCTTGTTTGCCTGCTGTCACAGTCTTCATGATCACTTTCTTCCTTTGTCTCATTGTTTTGCTCTCAGGGACAGATTCCTCTTAAACACATCTATATATTTGCATCCATCTTTAAGGTAATTTGGTGTTTATATTTCCCCCGGGTGCTGTAGAAATGTCTCCCTCCTCAGCCTGTGTGACTTGTGCAGTAGCGACAGCATTCTGCTCCATCCTCCCTTCCTATAGGAGCAATTTTACTGCAGTAATTCTCTGTGTGTGTGACACTAATGTTTATATATACTTTCCATTGCTACTATTCATCATTCTTTTGTGTTTCCTTCTTCTGGGAGGAAGGGATGAAAGAAGCCTTGCTCATGAAGCATGGTCTTTTTTCATTCAAGACTTGTTTCAGAAGTGAAGGCACAGCGCAGCTGTGGTCCTTTGCATCTGACATGGCTTGAAGAAGCAGCCTCCAGTTACAGGAACCTAAAATGTCCTGAGGAGGAGCTGGTCAGGCCCAGAAGGAAGCCCACAGCTGCTGCACCTCAGTTAACCTGAGGTTCACACACAGCCTCCCTCAGGTCAGCAGCGGTGCTTAGGGTTTGTAGAAAACCACTTCCAAGTGATGGAAGGGGCACTCTTTTGCTTATGGTTTTCTGTAAACAAGCAGAAATCCAAACTTCCCTGCCTCTCTTCTCCCTCACAGTGTGCTTGCATTCTTGGAAGAGAGGAAGAGGAGATCAGCAGCCCAAATGAGGACAGAACTTTGGTGTTTAACAGTTGACTCAGTGTGCACTGGGAAGGTGTTGAACATTTCCCAGGCGTGTGTATGCTCTCATCCAGGTCCCTGCAGGTTTTCCCACTCCTTCACTGTTCTGTACTGCAGATGTTTAGGCTGGAAGTGCTGTGAGGCTCTTGATGAACACACAAGCCCATATAAATAATAAGTGGCTCTGATATTTTTGTGGTTGCTCTGGTTAACAGCAATGCAATCTGGATAATAGTACAGTTTGGGCTTTACTTACACATGGTTTAAGAATACAGCAGGAATGGTCTTATTTCTTTAAAAGAGATATTTAGTGGAGGCTCACGTTCAGCCTCAGGCCTCACAGCATGAGCCCTGGCTCCCATGCAGAGCATGAACACCTCGATCTCTGCTGCCATGCATACAAACTGAGTTTACTGGACATTCATAGCACACTGCAGACATCGTATCAGCTTGCTTTGTGCTGCACCCCTCTTAGAGGCAAAAGCTGCCTGGGGTGGCAGTGAGCACTGGGTGCAGGGCGTGCAGGGAGCCATGCTGTGCTGAGCAGGGAGCTTAGGATGGTGCAGTGTTTAAGGAGGGGGACGATAGGCAGTGAAGAAGGGGCTGTTTTTTGGACTCCTTGTAAACAGTACATGCTCAGAGTTCAGGGTCAGGTTTGTCACAGGGTTGTCACAGAGGCAGAATTTTGATGATATCTGTGATTGTTTTTATTTTGGAGGAGGAAGCTGAGTAGGCAGCACTGAAAAATATTGCAAGGCTATCCAGGGAAATGTAAAACTGCAAAGTCACATAACACTACAGTGCAGTGGGCTGGGATATCCCTAACCTGTCTACATGGTACCAGGCACAGCAGGCTGGTTTGTTGCTATTCCCTCTTACTATTAACACCATTGACCCGGGTTGCCTGTTGGAAAAAACACAGCTTGCTTGATTTTTTTTTTTTGCATACTTACCTTTAATCTCTCTGTTTCTCTGCTGTTCATGTAGAAAACAAGGGAGCAGAGAAGGAGGCAGGGACTCAGAGCTGCCTGATGTGTGTGAAGATGAAGCTACATCCTGAAGCCACGTGGCTGTTGCAGGCTGGTTGCTCACGTGCTGCTGCTGCTGTACCCATCGTGGTGTTGTTTGGCACACATCTGCTCACATCGCAAAGTCCAGGGCCTGCAAAGCAAAAAGCAAAACGGACCAACCTAGCAAACTGAAAAGGAGGAAAAGAGCAGCAATAAAGAAACGAGCGAGTCTCAGCTGGCAGAGGGCTGGCTTGGCCTCTTGGGCAGCTGTGTTCCTCATGCGAGGTGTCTGTGTGCTCCTCTGTGTGTGCCTTGCTCTCCACTTGTGCTTCACGTGTGAGCTTTGTAGTTGGGTGTCTTGACCAATGAATGTTTTTATTTGCAGTGCAACAAACCAAACGTTGTCTCGTGGGTCGTTCACCCTAGAGACCTTTTTCTTGCTTTTTTTTCATCCTCTGTTTCAAAGATCAGGAAAAAAAATGGCATCAAAGCGAGGTCTTGTATCAGAGAGCAACTCTTAATGCACGCATAAAGCATTCTGTATAGCAGGACACAGTCCTGTTCCAGTTGGTGATTATCATTTCTATGGATAGCAGTTACAGAAGGGTGAGATCTTCCTTTTGGTGTTTACACTGTCACTCTCAATGCCTTTTTTTCCCTTTTCCTCTTAACCCTTAATGTAAACCCTGCCAGCATCGATAGCTTTATTCATGGCAGTGTTGTAAACTATAAGAACTACATGATATTTCCTGTATGTGCAATGAGCCTTTGAATGCCACAGAGCTCAACCACCAGGACACACCATTACACCTGAAGGCTTAGTGCACAGGAGGCATCTGCTGATGAACTCTTCCTAAGGAGCTGTGATTTCACTCCATCACCTGCTCCCAGTCCTGTGCACATGGGTGTCATTATGAAGTCTAAAAAGAAGTGACAGGTTTGGCATTTATCTCATTTAAGGGCGATTTCCTTTCACACACCTCTCTTAGCTCCTTTAAAATGTGTGCCTGATGCTTTTCAACTCCTGGTAAATGGCCCAAAGTGGGAGAGCTCTTAAGAATAGGAAACATTATGGAAGGGTTTTTAAACTAAGGAAGGTTACAGAACACAAATGGGATAAAAATGAAAACTTGATCTTTTGTTTCTTAAGGCCATAGTTTTTAATTTTAAGACTGTAATTTTATGCACATGCTGATGCTGCTGATGGCAATCCATAGATTGCTTCTAGACTTGGGATTAGAAGCTTCATCTCTACGTTTGACAACAGGTGAGAAACTGCACTCAAGGAGCAGATGCAGTCATTTCATCGGCTGCTGCCTGTACAGACTGTGTGTAATCAGGAATTTCACTCTTGCACGCCGAGAGTAAAAGCCAGTGACATCAATCCATCAAAATACACACTGGTGTTTTCCTTTGAGCTTTAAGGGGGGTCTGAGCATGCCTCCAGAAAGTCAATGGACTGAACTCTTGTACTTAAGGGACACGATTATATTTGGTTCCTTACTGACTTTTTTAGGTTAACCATGAGGGCTTGGGGCTCGAGTCCCCTGATTCTTTTGTGCCAGGGGATATGCATACAAGGATTATTAATAGCAATTGGTATACTAATTTTCCCATTCTATTCATTGTAGATTAGTTTGGTTCCCAATGATTTTGTAGCTTGGCTTTGCTTCCAGTGCCTTCTGCTTGCCAGCCCCTGCCTGCCACCTCTTCATCCTCCCCTCCGCTCATCTCCAGCTGCCTCGCAGTGCTGGTGGGAAGCCCAGAGGCAGTCTGCAGCCTGGGCTGTGCCCCACGTCCTGCCTATAAATACTGGCCAAGCCTCGTGGCTCGGGGGGTGTATTCTTAGAGTTAAGGTATTTTGTCAAGGAGACCTTCCATTTTTAAATCAGGTGGCAGGATTATATCCTGTAAATGTTACTGCTCTGGGGCTGTATTCTGCATCACTTGCATGCAGGTGTTCTGTTAAGCCTGCATTTGTGCCTCTGCATGCACCTGCGGTGCACTCAGCACCCCCCCGAGGTCTGTGATTGTGCTTCAGCCTAGCACTGTGATACATCCCTGCACAATGGAGCACTTGGATACGTGCTAGAGCCATATTGACATGTAATGAAGATTTAAACATGACGAAAGGGAGGGAAAACCAAGATGGAACCTTGGCAAGTCTGAGAGCACAGTGGAGCTCTGCAAATGCAGAAGGATGTGGTGGGACAAACTGCACGGAGGGGATGGTTGTGCATGGAATACCTGCACACAGCTGGCCCCATTTGGGGCAAATGAGTCTTCAGTGGGTCAGAGCATGAGGGCACCATCTTCAGGTCCTGCTGAGCAGCCCCAGGAGAAGGGCAGCAGCAGTGGGCAGGAAGAAGTCCCTAAGGCCGGCCACAAAGGCAGGGGGAGAAGAGAGCAGCTGTAATCCTTGTCAGCGTGGGTCTGCTGAGGTCTGAGCAACGCTTGGGTGGTGCTCACAGAGCTGCAAGGCCACAAATGAGGTTTTATTTATTGTGCTTTTTAACAGATGGTAGGGGGAGAAGTTTGCTAACGCAGGTGGTTGTTGGCTTACTCTAAAAATGTGCAGCTGGGGGAGTTGATGGGGGTGAGGTGGCTGGGAAGCTGCTCAATTAATGAGACCAAGCAAATAATTACAGATTTTTCTCTATGTTCTTAGAGCAGTAAGTAGAGCACTGCTGTAGTTTTGGAGGAGGATTGAGGAGAGTGGGTATTTGTTGTGATTATCCCAAAATCTGCTTTGGAAAATTGCCTTTTTTGGTGAAAGAAACCCTTCTGGAGCTGTTTCTGCAGGTCCAGGGAACAGAATCAGTATCACAGAGCTGAGCTTTTGTCAGATCTTATTTCTCCAGCCAGCCTGCCAGCTTTGTGGGTTTGCCCTTCTACCTCCAGAAACTGCACACATCAAAAAGGTGGGAGCAGCACAAGCAGCAAGAGCTGCTGGAGTTGATCCAAAAACTCGGTGTGACTTCTGCAAGGATGCTTCATTCACTGAGCTGCAATGAAACTCTTGCTCATTTTTCCGTGTGTTAGGGCAGCTAGGAGCATTGCTGCCCTTACTTTGAAGTAAGGAAGAGATTCGATAGAGAATCTGCTCAAAACGAATGCCTCTGGCCAGCCAGCCCTTTTGTTCAGTCTAGAAAGTCATTAGCTGGATGTCCAAATATTTGTGTTCCTGCTATGAACACGGGGTGGGATTTGGTGTGGCAGGGCTGCTGTGAGCAGTGTGACTCTGGGTGGTGTGGGCACTTGTGGATGCTTATTGTTTACTCTGCCCAAACCCGGTTGGCGGTGCTGCTGTGTGCTGACAGGTGCCTGGCGGCTGTGTTTGCAGAGGGCTCCTCCTGACGGCAGTCGGCTCTGATCAGCCTTTAAGCTTGGGGATGGGCCCAGCACGGGAAGCTTGGATGGCAGTTTCTCGTTTGGAGAAACGGAGCCTCTCTCTGATCCCCAGGAGGTCGCTTGTTTCTCTTGCTCCCTTAATAGCTGCAGCTCTTCTGTTCGGGGGGCAGTGAGTCACTGAACAGAATCACTGAGGTTGGGAAAGACCTCCAAGGTCACCCATTTTCCCACCACCATATTCCCCTGTCCCTTAGTACCACATCTAAATGTTTCTTGAACTCTTCCAGGGACGGTGACTCCCCACCTCCCTGCACAGCCCATAACAGTGCTTCGCTGCTCTTTCAGGGAAGAAATTTTTCCTGATATCCAACCTGAATCTCCCCTGGTGTAACCTGAGGCCGTTCCTCCTGCTGGCAGCTCTGTGCTGATACACATCAGGATGCTGTTGGCCTTCTTGGCCACCTGAGCATGCTGTGCTAAGTAAAAATCCTCATTTAAGATCTCCTGTCTGGTATGAAGGAATATTGCAGTGCGTGCCTATTGGCAGGAAAACATTGCTGTGAATGCCACACTTGCAAATAAATGAGCTTTGCAGCTATTAAATGATACGTTACAGCAGATACATGGATAACAACTCAGCACTTCAGAAGCTGCCTCAGCCAGCCGTGTGTGTGTGCTGTCCCTGCTCTTGCACAGTGATTTCCACTGATGCAGCTCCAGGAATCAGATGTTCCTTCACTGTTCTCACAGTCACGTTGCTGCCTGCTTGTGCTGCTGTTCTGCAGTGAGATGGACCTGGGAGAGGGAAGGCTCTGCCTGAGGGTTAGGATCTGAATGAGGGAGGGATGTGCAGAGGATGGAGGACTGCAGTGCTGTGGAGCCCTGCCAAGAGCAGGAGCGCGTTGGTGTCTGGGCTCTGGGGACAGGAGGCACATCAGTGCCTGATGTGGACGTGTAGCTTAGTTTGGGTATGAAACTTCTCCCCCACCAGGGTTTGTGTGCTGAGCAAAGCAGTGAAAGGGATTTCTTTTCTGGCCCAAAGCTGTAGAAGACCACATCCTGAGCAGCACACTGAGTGCTCTGAAAAACTGTAAATTCAGGAAAAAAAGAAAAACGATGACTTTTCAGGATATAATTCTGATCCTCCGTGCCGTAACCTTGCTGCTGTGTACCTGATTTATGCCTGTTCTGTTAGTATTTAAGTCTCTCGTTCCGCTCGATGTGAAGTATGACTCTGCGTGTGCTCTGACTCCAGCATGATGTATATGCACTCAGTACTGTAATGGCACGTGGCCATTACCCTGTAAATATGTACCATGAATAGAGAGGCTATTTTTTGCATGCTTTTGTACTCTAGAACCAAAAAAGAAAATGACAATAAAGTCCACAGAAACGACGTGTGGTGTGAGCGTGGTTCCTGACGCAGTCCCTGTGCTGGGGGCTGTCCCCGTGCCTCCACTGGGAAGGGTTTCCTCACCGTGCTTCTGAAGGCTCTCGATGGGAATCTACCTGGTTGTAATGGGGGTGGTGCAGTGGTTTGAAGGCCACTCCCCCTCATTATCTCTCAGATGGATTCTGTTTCCAAATGGATTTCTCCAGCAGCAAATTATAATTTCATGCCTATTATAATATTTATTAAGAACTGACTTCTATTCTAATGCCATTCCAAGTAGTAATTATTACAAATTAAGGTGGCATGAGGGAATAATAATAATGTGTTTCAGCAGAAGGGTGACAGGCAGTGAGCAGCAGGATTTCCTCTGCAGGGAAGCGAGAGGTGAATTTCCTGGAATATAACAGAGCAGGAAAAAGCCCTTTTCTTTTATAAAGGAATTTCCAGAGATATCCTGAAATGAAGGAGCAACTGCCAGGAGCCACCAGGCGTTCTTTGCTCGAATCAGATGTACCACCACTAATGCAATCTGAATGCACATTCTTTGTGCCCCATTTATTTTACTGCTTCTGGGAGGGCACGGAGCTGCCATTCCCAGCAGCATCTTCAGCACCCGGCCATCCCTGTGGCTGTGGCTCTCTGTTCTGGCAGCAGCAATCTCTTAGGAACAGAGATTCTGTTTTTTAGCCAAAACAGACCACTTCCTGATACTCCCCCCCCCCCCCCCCCCCTTTTTTTTTTCCTAGAGTTCAACATTAGACAGCGATTTCCTTCCTTTCAGTGGCACTGGGTGCTGCAGGTCACACACCTGAGGCGCTGCTTCACTAAGCTGCTCCTACGCCCCATCTCCTCAAGTTCAGGAAGAATGAATTGCTAAACCTGCTTTATGCTTTAGATGCATCTTTTATTGCAGCAGTGGCTAACATTTTTCAAGCATCCGTGCTTGTTAAGTACCAATTACTAATGACTACTTCAAGCAAATCAGCCTGTACAGGAGAGTTATAACCTGAGAGCAGTGCAGAGGTACACACAGACAATAATCTGTTTAGAATGAAGTACAGATAGAAAAAGCTTAATTAAGTGACTTCAAATGACTCAAGCACACTAGTCAGCCTCGCAGCATTCAGGCAGCAGTATCTGATAAGCATTAATAAAATGAGCTTCACTGTTCAGTAGGAAAAAAAGACACTGGACAATAAAAATAAATCAACATAAACTGAAGTAGGAGAAAGTGGTTGAGTTGCTGATTTCCTCCTGTGGCTTCTGTGTCAGCTGGCTGTGTTGCCAAGCTGTGTCCTTGCTTAAACATGAGCCACCTCTTTTCCTCTGTATTCATATAACCTTACAGAAATGCTTTGTTTATTTTAAAGTTGTTCAAACTTAACATTAAGGCCAGGAAGGTGTCAGGTTATCCAACCAAGAACTCATTCCCAAGCACTGCTGTCAGAGCTGTGTTTCCCCAGACAACCAAGGCTTTTCCTGTCCCTGTTCCCCTATTTGCTAGGCTGGTGCAAACTGACACAGCTCCACACAGCCCTCTCCAGCAGCACTCAGTGCGGATCATGGCAGGACTGTGTGGGGAAGGCACCAGAGATGCTTCTGGAAAGATAAACCCCATCATTTGAAGCAAGCCATCCCAATGTTCATTGTTGCCTTTTGGGGATTTCCATTACAGTAACTGTTGGTGTTTCTTTATTTTTTTACTCTTCCTTTCAACGTCTCTCAGCACATCCTGCAGCTTCGTACAGTTCTGTGTCAGGAACACCAGGCTCTCCTTGAAGTTGCTGGTGCTGTGCTCCCTGCAGACGTTCTCCAGCCCATCAAACCACTGCACAACCTTCTCCAGCTCGGCCTGCACGGCTCTCTGCTCCTCCAGCTCTGCACGCAGCGCCTGCCCGGCGGCTGCCTCAGCCCTGCACTGCTGCTGCAGCTGGGAGATCTCATCCTGCAGAGCACGGAACTCCTCCTGGCTGTAGGGGTACTGCTGGTGGACCCTGTCCTCGGGGAGCAGCACGTTGTCGGGGATGCTGAGCACCAGCTGCAGCAGCACCTCTTCCATCTTTCCGAAGAGCTGGTCGAAGCGGGCCTTCATGAACTGCAGGAACTTCTCCGTGCTCTTGCGGATCTCGAAGCGGCTGATCTGGACGGCCGGCAGCGCCTCGAGTTTCTTCAGGATGACGCTCTCCACCACCACCATCATCTCGAAGAGGTAATCCTGGAACGCCAGGTAGATGCGCAGCATGCACGTCTGCGGGGTGAACCCGAAGAACTGCGTCTCGTAGGCCATGGGGCGGACCGACATGGCGGCGGGAGGGCGGCCTGGGGGGCGGCGAAAGGAGGGTGGTCGGGGCCTGGAAGCGCGCGGGGAGCCGGAGGGGAGCTGATTCACCTCCTCGCGCCGTTACCACAGGATCTGGGACGGGAAGGAGCCGCTCCAACACCACCCGCCCGCCGTTCCGCTCAGACGCCCCGATCTCCTCAGGCCGAGCTTCCCGCTTCGTTCGAACTCCCTCAGAGCGACAGCCAATCAGCGACCAGAAGGTGGCCGCGGGGATGGAGGCACCGACCAATCACCGAACGCTCCAGCTCACGGGGGCGGGGAATGTGTGGAGACGGAGAGAGGCCGCGCTCTCCGCTCGGCCAATGGGGATGCAGCGTGGCCGCGCGGGCTGCGCGTGGCTCGGCTGCCGATTGGCGGAGGGGCGGGAGAGGTGCGCGCATGCGCGGAGCGGAGGCGGAAGCGGAAGCAGCGCTGGGGCGCTAAGATGGCGTACCAAACCTTCCGGCAGGAGTACCTGCAGGTGCCGCCGGTGACGCGGGCCTACACCACTGCCTGCGTCCTCACCACCGCCGCTGTGGTGAGATGGGAAGCGGGGCCGCGGGGGATTCCGTCAGCGAGGTGGTCCCGTCCCTTATCCTCCTTTACGGGCGGCGCCGGGCGGGCAGCGCCTCAGGGCCCCGGGGGGCTGGGAGGAACCGAACCCCGCGAACGGCCGAGCCGTTAGGAGGCCTTGTGCTAAAGATGTGCGCGCTGACTGCCGTGGTTCGGCTCTTCACAGCACGGTGCTGATGGCGTGTTTGTGTTTGTGCAGCTCCTGCTCGGTGCATTGATTCGTTGTTCTCTTCTTTTCCAGCAATTAGAACTAATTACACCCTTCCAGCTGTATTTCAACCCCGAATTAATATTTAAACACTTTCAAGTAAGTGGTTCCTGATGTGTGAGAGGTTTTAAAGCAGTCTGGTGAGTGTGTAAGTCTTCCTGAAGTGCAGTGCTGTAAGGGACTGAACTCTTCACATCGAGGAGATGAGTGCCTCCGAGCCCTGCTCTTACATTCGCTGAGCTTTCTGTTACTTTGTTATTTTCTTTTCTGTTTAGCAATAAGTTGCCAAGTCTAAATGCCTTGCATTTGTGTCATTTCCAGGTATGGCGCTTAATCACCAACTACTTATTCTTTGGACCAGTTGGCTTTAATTTTTTATTTAACATGATCTTTTTGTATCCTTCATGACTTTTGTTTTTTCCCTCCTTGGAAAGCAGAACTCCATAATGGCTCTGTGTGCAGGCAGGTTTAATTCTGCTCCATGCTGAAGTTACCAGGAGTTCAGTAATGCTAAGTTAGCTGATGGGCTGGGCGTCAACAGGATCTCTTTAACATATCAAGCACTCTGCCATTTATTTCTGTGCTGCCACGAATCTGTTGTATAAGTCAGGTCCTTCAGCTGGTTCTGAAATCCAGGGGAAAATTCCTAGTAATATTTCTGTTCTGGAATTGGCCACTCTGCTGAGGCACGCAGGATGAGGCAGTTAATGAACTGAACTGATCCATGATCTTAGATGCACGGTTCATATAAATGCAGTCTTTTCCCATTGGATCTTTCTCTAAACTCATTTGTTGTCCAGTTTCCCTGACCTGTGACTTCAGATATCGTTACTGCCGAATGCTTGAAGAAGGCTCTTTTCGAGGTCGGACGGCAGATTTTGTATTTATGTTCCTTTTTGGAGGACTCTTAATGACTGTATCCTTTCTGGTTTTATTCCAAAATACTCTAGTCAAGCTAAAGATAAGTGAAGGAGAACTCAAAATTTGCTGTTCATTTCTCTTAATTCTTAGAGGAGAACATTTTTCTTGTAGCATGAGAAGCAGTAGCTTTAAATGCTTTGTGACTGTCACTTCTATTAGATGTTAGGCTGATCTTTCACTCTTTTTGCTTCTTGACAGAATTATGGAAGTAGATGGGGGGACTGCTCAGGTGCGTAATCATGCCTAGTTATCTAATAAATGCTTTTGCTTCAGTGGTTTCATGCTGAATTTTATTTTTAAGTGTTTATTCAGGCTCTGGGTACACTGCATCCTGCCACAGACGTTGAATTTGATTGACCATAAATGTGGTTTATCTGAACCTGGGAAAGAAAGAGGAAGAATTGCTTGGAGAACGTGGGATTATAGATCAAACTGTCAAATTCTTCTCATGCTTGACATCAAACTGTTATTTGGTGAATTTCTTTAACTACCCATTGGAGATCTTTGGCCTGTTTGTAAACTTGGTTTTCTTGGGTCAGGCATTCACAATAATGCTTGTGTACGTCTGGAGCCGCAGGAATCCCTACGTCCGTATGAACTTCTTTGGGCTTCTCATCTTCCAAGCTCCATTTCTACCTTGGGTACTGATGGGCTTTTCACTGCTTTTGGGGAACTCCATCATCGTGGATCTCCTAGGTAAGGAGCTGTAAGAATCACAAGGCTAATGAAACAAGAAACCTGGGGGGAAAAAAAAAAAAACACACAAGAAAAACAGCCCCAAAGGTTGATTGCCTCTTGTGGCTTACTGTTAGTTGGTCTCATATAATGACAGTGTATTTGTACCAGGCATTTCTGATTTCAAGATGCTGTAGCATATTTTATGCTGTAACAAAGATTAGAAGAGCTTCTGAGGCTTTGGCTTTATCTTGCTTGAAATGTGCAGAGATACACAATCTGATTACTGGTATGACACTACTGATACAGAATGTAGTACTGTTCTTATTAACTCTAGTGAAGCTGTAACATCATTTTATAATGACAGCCTGTTTTGTCTGTGTTAATGTCTTACAGTGTATGTTACACTCGTCATCTATGAAGAAAACTGTGGGTTTTCTTTTCCCCTGAAAAGTATTTGTGAGCTGTAAAGAAATATTCGAAAATAACCATTTGATATTTCTTCATGTACTAGGTATTGCAGTCGGGCATATATATTTTTTCTTAGAGGACGTTTTTCCCAATCAGCCTGGTGGTGGAAGGCTTCTGAGAACACCATCTGTCCTGTAAGTATTGCTTTCTGGTTTGGAACAGATAAAGAAATAGTGTTTGTGTGGAAAATGCTGTGTAACTTGACCTAAGTGACTTCTAGTAAGCAAGGGAATTCGAGTCGGAGCTGCAGTATGTCTGTACTTGTGTGTTGCCAAACGAGGGAGGGGATCATGTCAAGTGTGCAAGTGGGAGCTTTCTTAGAGAGGGCAGTGGCTGAGGGCTTTGTGTAGTCCTTGATTTGTTAATGCTTAGTAGTCTTTACCAATTTCTGCCTGTTGATGGCACCAAAAGTGCGTGTGAGGAATAAGAATCCAGCTGTGTATGAACAGAGTAATTATGAAGTGAAATACAGCTATTAATTTTTTTCTGAAAAACATCCTTATTTCACAACTTTGGCAGATGTCATTGTTGATATTACTGAGTAGTGCTCCTACTCAGTTTATGTATGTGTATAGAATTGGAGCAGTCTAGGTTTTATTATTAAACATGTATTCTCATGAAAAGAAAACAAACTGATTTCTGCTTTCCAGGAAAGCAATATTTGATACACCGGAAGATGATCCTAATTACAATCCCTTGCCAGAAGAACGGCCAGGAGGATTTGCATGGGGAGAAGGTCAACGTCTTGGAGGCTAATCAGATGGCTGTGCCAAAACCCAGCAATGACTGGGAGAGATGAACCTGGAGTTCTGTCCCGGGGAATCCCTCATTCTCCATCGCAGAAAGAACACTCTTCATGAGCTCTATGGTTTTGAATACAAGCACTTTATGAAATGGCAGTCTAATCCAAGACGCTTCCAGGCTACCAGTGTCTTCCTTAGCCAGGGAATTTATTGTGCTGGTAACGCGAATGTTAATCCAGTGGAGCCAAAAAACTTAAAACTGGAAACCATTTCCTGTCAACTTCAGTTAACAAGACCATGAATACTTGTTTGAAGTGATTTCTAAAACATTTTTTTCAAGTAATTTGATACAGGAAACTATATGGGAAACTTTACAGGGGACAAAAAAGCCTTTTTTAACTCCTTTTTTATTCTTGGATAAAACAGCTTCAAGATGGGTAAGAGTGCAAGTCCCTATTCCAGTGGTAAATGTTTTTTAGTCCGAGATGGTAGTGTCTCCAGTCTTGTTTGAAGTGTAAGAAATACATCATTCAGCATAATATTTTTGGAATGTGCCTCTGTGTGAACACACTTGCAGGCTGTGACTACACTTTGATGGCTTTTCCCCCGGTGTTGTGATAACCAGGTGTGACTCTGGTTGGCTAAATGGGTCCATGCTGCCTGCCTCCCACACAGGCACACTTCCAGCAGTCATTACATTTCTCGGAGCACTAGGAAAGAGAGTCTGTCTGGTGTTGAACTGTTCAAATATCTCAGATAATGGGTTGAATAAAATGTTTTCTGGATTTTTTTTTTTTTTTCTCATTAATCTTTTGTATGACAGGCTGGAGGCAGAGATGGGAAGAGCAGGTCCCAAGAGTAAGCAAGCTTCTCTTGCAGCTGTCTCTGAGAACTGTGAAGAAAAAGGGTGATTGAGTGAGCATGGTAGGGGTGTGTAGTGTGTGTTAAGTTTGCTGGGGGAGGGCTGAGCGTTGGAGGAGCTGCTGGGCAGGGTCATGGAATTGTAGGGCTTGGAAGGGACCTCTGGTGCAGTTCCCTACAGCAGGTGACAAGGTGACAGCTGCTGTCCAGCCACGTCCTGAGCATCCCTGGGCAGCCTGCTCGGTGCTGCCTCACAGCAAGGCTCTTGTTATCGTGGAATTGCTGTGTTCCAGTTCTTATTCCAGTTTGTGCCCCTTGTTCTATTGCTGTAAGGCCGTGCAGCGACAGAACACCACACGGCTTTGGTTGGCGCTCTGTTATAAATACGAGGAAGTCAAAGAGCTCAGCTCATCTGATTCAGCCACACTTGGACTCCATCTGTCCCGGGTAGGGGAACTGATGGGGAATTGATGAAAACGACCGTTTCGTCAAGTGTTTAAGAACCGTGACGGTGCTCGTGAGGGCGTGAGGGATCGCTCCGCCCTCAGCCCGCCCTCAGCCCGCCCTCAGCCCGCCCTCAGCCCGCCCTCAGCCCGCCCTCAGCCCGCCCTCAGCCGCGTCCCGCCGCTCCCAGCGCGCCGCGCGAAGGCGGGCTCCACAAGATGGCGGCGCTGCGCCTGCGGCCGAGCGGCTGACGCTGCGGTCCCGCCATGCTGCCCGGCTCGCCCGCCGTTCCACGCCGGCCCCCGCCGCCGCCCGCCGCCTCGCAGCGCCGCGAGCTGCCCATCTTCCAGGCGCGGGGGCCGCTGCTCAGCCAGCTGCGGGGTCTGG